CTCTACTGGTTCGGTGCACAACTGCGTTCACGAACAGTCCTCAGAAGAGTTCCAAGCGCAAGGAATCGTTGACGCTGAAAGAACGGCTGCAGCACGTACGACGTCGGTTGCTGGACCCGGACGGTGGCAGCTTTTGGTCGTCATCGTCGTCTTCAGCAACAGCCGCTGACGACCATTGCGAAAAGGCAACAACGTCTTCGTCGAGAGGCAGGTTCTGGAGAAAAAGGTTCGGTTGTGGCAGTGGAGATGCGCCGGGATCTCGTTACGGATCGGCATCGGCCGAAAGCGCTGCTACGAAGGACAAGAAAAGCCCATCGTCACGGAACCGTCGCATCCTTCGAAGCTTCAGCGATTTCGATCTGCACTCATTTTTGTACACGAACCCGTCATCGTCATCGGTGGCGGTTGTCTTGCCGTCGACCACCACGCTTTCTGCTGTCGCCTCGCCTGGAAACGGTAACGGTTCGTGCCCAACAGATGCTGTGGCGGCGGTTGCGAATGACATCGAACCGCATCGAATGCAAGAACTGTTGTGGAGGGAGTGCAATAGCACGTCCTCGATCGATACGATCGCGGCGATGGCGACGACTTTAGGGCAAGACAACGAAGAAAATTTTGTTGTAGCCAGTAGCAGCACTTGTAGCCGTTGCCGTCGTTCAAAACAGAATTCGATCGACAACGAAGAAGAGCAAGCAGGAGGAGAAGAAGATGAAGAAGATGATGATGACGACGAAGACGACGAAGGTTTAGCTGCTGAATACAACGTCGTCGACGAGGTTGAACCTGTCGTCGAACAGCGACCACACTGTCGACGTTCTGACCAGCCGGAGGAAGGGCATCGAGCAATCACCTCTGTCACCGCCATCGACCACGATAAGTTTCATCTCTTAGAAAAAGTCTTGCCCGGTGATGAGCAACAGTTGTTGCCGCCACGGCAGCAGCAGCCATCGCCAGCGTCGAAGCAGCAACAGCAGCAGCAGCGTTTCCTCTGTTCCTCGTCACCCGCGTCTTCTTGTTCCTCGTCGTCGTCCTCAGCCGCTTCCGCGTCTGTCGCCCCTGCCGCTGCCGCTGCCGCTGCCGTCTGTTCTTCGCCGTCGTCGTCATCCAAAAAGCCGTCAAGGATCTTAAAGCGTTCGAAGGCCGTCGACCTGACCTGCATCGAAGGTACCACGGTAGTCGCCAATCCGCCGCCGAATCCGTCCACAGTGCGAGTTCGTTCCTCGTCCGCCGAACAGCAGCAGGTAATCTGGTATAAATGTATGTACATGATTGATTTTTTTCGATAAGGTCTGTTGGAGGGGAGGGGGCAGTGAGAGGGTACCGTAACGTCTTCCCATCCATTCTTCGTTTCTGCTCTTCATTAGACTCGCCGGTCAACGACTCGTCATGTCACTCGTCCGGCGTTTCCTTGTTTATCACGGTCGTTGTTCGTCGCTTCCCTCGTTTTTCACTCTTCCGCGTCGCTTCGTCTCATTCCATGTCGCTCGCCGGCGCAACAACACGGGTGTATCGATTTCGCGCGACCGAGTGAAATGAACTGCTGATCGAACGAACCAAACGTTCACCTATCGAGCAGAGGCGGTGACGGTTGAGCATTGCGGTGGGCGACAACAAACCCGCACTCATACAGCTACCTCAACGGCGACGACGACGCTGTTTCATCGTCGTCACCGTTGATTCGCCATTGTCACTGTTTTCTCTGTCACATTTTCGGATTTTCTAAACTTTACGTCACTGGTCTGTTGTTTTCTGAAGTTTCACCAGCGTGTCGTTTGTAAATACAATAAGTTTGGTGTTGGTTGACTATTTGTTTGAAACCTTTTTAGCCACGTTCATAATATGTTGTCAAGTAACAATTCGTCGTCTGTGTCAAGTGTTTGAAACAGGCAGTTTCGTTCGTTTTTCAACATATATTCTTCCCATTTTCACTGATCAGCCGGTTGTACTCTTTCCTGTATTATTAGCTTATGCTTGTAAGAGAAGTAGGTTGCGGTCTGCTGTGCATAATTTGGCTTTACGTATTATCCAGTCATCACCTGTCCATCATATTTTGTTTTTGAGAACAAAATTCTTTTCAAATCCTCCCACGCGTTGCACCTTGCCTATCGCCATGTCGCCTATCCATTACATCCCGATAGGATCTGTATCATTATTTAGGTGGATATGTTTTCCTACCGCACCGCAGATTCATTATCCGGCTCTGATCAGGCAATCTCCGAGTTTTTCAAAAACGGTGGCCTCGGATCGTAAATTGAGTTCATATTCGGTGCGTTCGTGCATTCACTTTTACCACAGCCAGCCAACCCAAAGTTTACCGTCCAATTCTTGGCTTCAATATAGAATCCCTTCCCTTCTGTTGCAGTCTGTTAGTCTTTCAGTTCATTGTTGATGCCGAAGAACTATTAACGGTGACATTTGATCAAATAGGCTCCTGTCTTATTCGCTTCGTAGCGTTCTGTTTCTTGAACAGCTTTCTTCTGTTTTACTCAGCACAAGTTAAAGTGTTCTGTGGTGGTACTCTGTGTACGGTCTTTTGAACTCAGTTATACTTGCGTCAGCTCAGATGTCGCCGTAAATGTGAATAGTGAATCTATTGGAAAAGTTACCTACTCACCTCTTTTACTACCACGTACGAACCAAAAAGCGGTGACAAGCTTTTGAGCACATCCGTAGCCAATTTTCCTACCAAAGTTTAGGTTTTATGATGTTTTATTTGTCGCCTAATGATTGTGCTGTTGGGCTGGTTTCTGTTGTTCAGACAGTTTAACATACAGATGGCCAAGCACACATGTCGATGACTGCCAGCGATGTCTTCGAGTCCCTGAAGCGCGTAGACTCAGTTCCGTATCAAAGTGGCATTCCAGAAAAAAGTAATATCATCGGCCCATTATGTCCCGAGTTTCTTGAAAATTACTGACAGTACTGTTTAAGATTTAAGTAATGATAACGGCACTGCAAATTTTAGTATATACAGCTATTAAACATGTTAATTCTCCACTGGTTTGGATGGATTCTTATGAACGATATCTTTAATGAAAGGTCTTACTACTTCACTTACTGCTTGATCATTGCATGTTGTTTGTATTGGTTTATTTGGTCTTGTACTATTTCTACGTCACTTATTTCGTTGTAATATTTTTCTGCCTTAATACGTACTCATTCTCGGCTTAATCAGTGTTATCACTGTCACTACGGGTATATCAAGATGAGTAGAAATTTTGATGACTACTTCTTGTTGTTTTGTCATTATTATGCAGTGTGAACAAAGCCTGAACCATATCATAACCAAAATTTATGATTTCCGTTCGCAACGCCATGTGGTTGCGTAAGTTTGCCTCTGCAATACGATTCGAACTTTTAATCTTTTTAACCGACACATCTGAGCTGTACTTCTCCGGCTCAACATCTGCCATGAGAAGCTATCTGCTGAGTGTTGGCAGCTGTACATAGACAAATGAGCGTTGCTTTTCGAATGTGAACTGCAACCACGCGCAGATGAGTAAAGTTGATGTAAAAATTTTTTAATATGCGTATTGTAACAAGCGGTACTTCACGTGTTCTTCACGCATACTTCACGAGTGGTTCACGTTCTCTTCGTTATTCGGTTTTCTCCTGTAAAACGCTTTCTATATTAAAAGTACAATGAAACACTGTTCACTGTTCATGATAGTAGGCAGAGTGTCGGGACTCTGTCTATGGACTAGTCAGTCGAACTTCAGGTATTTTCTTTAGTCAGTTAAAACGCGCTTTCCATGTGTATTAAATGACTACGTTTCGAATGAAAGATAGCTTAAGCTAATTTTTAGCTTATTTTTCAACGTGCATGTTTAACTTATACTGTTAATAATATTGTGGTAATATTAATTGCGTTTTCCTGTACAACTTTTTAAAAAATGAAAAAAAAAATACTCAGAGTTACAGATACCTCGTGAACACTCACCATAGAAATTTTTGCTAATGCCATATAAAATCAAGTTCCTCTTTTGACCTTGTGTTTGTATCATTTGTAAATATGGCGTTTGCGTGTACACATCGCCGCGTTCGAGGGTAGCGATACGTTCGTCTAAAATAATTTTATAACTTTTTTATACC